CATCATCCTCATGCTCATTGTCGTCATACATGAACAATAACTAACTTTTTCAACTTTGACTGATTTTTTAGCAATTTTGAAACCTTTGAATTGATGTTGAATTTTTAATGCAGCTTTTTGTACTTCTGGATCATTTAAATCAATATCAATCTCTTCGTTACTACTCATGATAGATACTTGTAGATTTTATTGTGGGTTATTTTTTGAGAAAATAAAAACAAAACAATAAAAAGTACTCTTGTTTTACAAGACAATGAATTACTGATTCAATAACTACTGTAAAATAATTAAATAAATAGAAAATGTGAGTAATTAATTAGTTATTGAACAATTAACGTATATAAGGTTTTTAATAGTTGAGATCATGAGTCAATTGAAGTCAGACCACTATGGAAAACCTGGAAGTACTGGAGGATCGTTTAGTCCTACTGCACTGCTGAGGAGTCTCACAGTAAGACGGGACAGCCGTCCAGTGCTTCTAGGTTTTCTATGGTGGTCTAGCTTCAAATGACTCATGATTTCAACTAATAAAATTACTATAATATCCATAAAAAATACCCCTTCTGATTTATAAGGTTTATGACCAAAAAGAAATAACATATTTTATGAGTTATTAGTAGTATCTTCGTCACCTCCAACCTATTATTTTCCCTAAAGATACGCTTCATTGTCTAATTATATGAACACTTTTTATTGGGTAATCTTATAGTTTTTTATGAATGTAATTTCAGTGTCCATATTTTTCTAATCATTGACCTATTTCTCATTATGTGACATTGATTCAAGCCTTTATTATTCCTATCACAACTAGTACATATGTCGTCACACTAACAATCTGTACTCTTTACTTATTATGTTTGTTTATTTAAACTTTTCCACTGTTATCACTGATAAATAAATTGAATAAACCAAATTATCGATAATGTTGAATAAAGAAGGAAACAATGCATTGACCAAACCCCTTAATTGACCAATTCAATGTATAATATAGACACTAGTTGAGCAGTTCTTTTGAATATCTTCGTTGATTGGTTAGGGTTAGAAATTTACACCGTTCGATGCTGGCTCAGTGATTTACAGGTTAAGCGTCCACGCGCGAGACTGATAGGTCCCGGGTTCGAATCGTGCGAGCGGGATCGTGGATGCGCACTGCTGAGGAGTCTCACAGCAGGGCGAAACGGCCGTCCAGTGTTACAAGGTTTTTCATTGTGGTCTAGCTAAGATCGAGTCATGAATTCAACTATTAAAACATCCCGATGGATAGGAGAATCGTATTTCTGATGTTTCGCTACTTAATATACCTCACTTCTTCGGAGTAAATAAATAACCGAAATAAATCAACACCGGTTTAAATAGTACAAGGGAAACAATATAGAGTATTTTAAGTAAAATCAAAATCATAATAGGTCTGAATAAGCCAATGTCCGGACTATTATGATTTTGATTTTACTAAAAATATTCTGCACTGTTTCCTTTGTACTATTTAAACTTGTGTTAATTTAAATCGGTTATTTATTTACTCTGAAGAAGTGACTTACATTAAGTCACGAAATCTTATAAATATAATTTTTCTACTTATTGTGATATAAAAAAAATAATTATCATTAACTTCCTATTCAATACTCAATTCAACGAAAACTATCAAGCCTAACCCAGGTATTGATACGTATATACTCTAATATCCAACACTTATAGAAACAGGAGAGACTATAATTTATGGACGAACCAATCAGATTTACAATAACAGGTCTTAGATTTTCGAGCGAAATTCATTCACTCACATGATTAAATAGAGTTTTGGCATTATATTTGATGTCAGTTTGTGATGAAAATCCTAAATCGAATTCTTAACCTTAACCATCAACTGTAAATCATAATTCGAATTTTTCACACAGTTTTATAACCCTCGTTTAGCCCTAGTAAGTAGGTAGACACTTTGAAGGACACTTTAACGTCGCTCAAATGTCGTCTATAAATTATAGTGTCAGCAAAAAGAAAAATCACTAGAAGTACAAGTTATGACATATTTAGTAAGTATAAAAAATAGCAATAACAGTATCCATCAAGACTTTTTGAATTTCTTGTAATGAATGCTAACTATTTAGTATTGTCCAATTGTTCACCTGTAGACCCTCTAGGTCTACTATCGGTCCCAAGCCCTCATTAGAAGGAGGAGGATTATGCATGAGGTTAGCGACCCCATCCTGTAGAAAACTAACGAGCTAAACAAAAAAAACTAACCAGAAAAAAAGTTAGTCAGTAAGTAAGTCATTTATTGTTGAATGATTTTTGATATTAGATTGAACAAACAATTTCTATGATATGAGAAAGTAGGACATTTCATTTGACCTGCTAATTATTTATATCTTTTAAGAAAAAAATTGAAACAATCTTTAAATGTTCCCATTATATTTGAAATAACTAAATGACATAATTAGGGAATAGATGACATAATAAAATATTGAAAATGTTACAATGATATATAATGGAAATTTGGGTCAAGAATGATTACTGAAGAAGATTGAGTTTTTACAAACAGAAATGTCTATGTCATTTTTATAGGTATATAGCTCTTTTAAGCATATGTTTTTGAGTATACTAATGATTTAGTTCTCATTATAATTAAGAAAGAAAATAATTTTCTAGAATAGAGTTTGATAGAGAATCCTGGTTGAGCGGGGAAGGGACTATATTCCTCCATGAGGGGGAACAAGCTGAATTAAGTAAAGTATAAGTAAGAAAAGCTTTATGAAAAGATAGAATGATGATAGAAGTGTAACAGTTGTTGAAACTTACAATGTAAAGAGATTGAATCACAATTAATCTTCTTGTGAATTTAACAATATTCAAATGTTTCCATAACTAATTAAAATAGTAACCTTTCTACATTGAAACAGTGATTAGAATGAGTTTAAATTTCTGTAAGACCATAGTTTATGGACGACATTTGAGCGACGTTAAAGTGACCTTCAAAGGTTAAGAATTCGATTTAGGGTTTTCATCACAAACTGACATCAAATATAATGCCAAAACTCTATTTAGCCAAATGGGTGAATGAATTTCGCTCCAAAATCTAAGACCTGTTATCGTAAATCTGATTGGTTCGTCCATAAATTATATTCTCACCAAAATTTCTTTTAAAAAATATATTTATACAAACATATTGGAAGACTAATTATAAATTCAGTTCATATATGGGCATTATTACGATACTTCGTTCCATCCGACATTATAGAGAAAACAGACAAGAAAATGGTTAATCATTTTTCGGCAACATAAAGTCATACCATTGTAAACATGACGAGATCAAATTACCAAGGTAATTCGTTAAAGAGATTGAAATGATGTAGTAATAACAAAAATGGCACACACACACACAGAGAGAGAGATAGAATATGGTCTAAAATGGTAGACTGGAAAGGTACAGCAATACTGAAATTCATAAACGAGTGGAAGATAAAGAGTAAATATATCTATTCCGATTGATTCTGAGATAAAAATAAGATAGGCAACCTTTGTTAATGACCAATCATCACATTTTAGACTATTACACATAATTATTTTCTTAATCATTTTTTTACTATTAACTTTCATTTTGTATACCAAATATCATTCACAAAATTATTGAACTTCACTTCAATATTGTACTGTTGGTTGTTATGCAAGCCCATACAGCTTATTCTAGCTTCCGAACAGGCCAATTTATTTATCTTTCTTGAGTTATATTTTGACCTCATCAATTATTCGCTTATCAACTTTGACTGTTTTTATGTGAGCATATGTGTATGCATTGTTTATCCTATTCATCACATATTTGCAACTTATTTCTATCCGACTATATACATCGATTAACACTTGATTAAAGTGAGTTGGCTCATTTGTCTCCACCGCGAGTCATTTCGCTTTGTTCTTTTCACTTCGCTTTATTCGCTTCGTTCCTTTGATCATTTATCCAGATCAATAGTGTACAAAATATATGTATTCAAAAACCCATTTTTGTATTTGACTTATCTTAATTTCGTTATTCACTAACGTGATTTAAGTCGATAACTCTATGTACGAGGATAGCCAGGATGTATATTTTAACAATTATTTATATGATCTAATTGGAGTCCGATCTCGGGGCCACAAAAATGTAACAAACAGGAAAATGATAAAATGAAAAACTTAAAAAAAAATAGGTCAAAATAAATAAATAAAATGTGTTAGTGAAAAGTTTAAAGCCAATTTATCCAATGTAACCAACAATCAATAATGATTATTTCATGAATTAGAACCGAATAATCTACATGGTTCACAATATCAATCAGTAATGCAATAGAATAAATTCAAACTTCAGCTTGATCGCATATACGACCTGAATACACATTTTACTTCCATACCTTGAGTGTAGGTAGTTACTAGGAGTTACATTTTTGTCCTATGGTTATTTTATGAGTTCAAACACTATTCAAAACTATTTAATACATTTGGTAACATCAAGACATCCTTTTAATGTCCATATAAGAAATTATAGAGCGATAAAATGCAGTTCTGTATATCATCAATGAGAAAATATAAACATTTACAAAATACATCATATCCATTGAACAAGTTAGTAACTATTCAAACTTAATGGTTCGGTTAATGAGATGATGTGGAAGATTTGTAGCTCAGATGGATGATTTTGATGGAGTTTTGTTCTCTTAGCTGGATGGCTTGGTCGTGGAGCACAAACTTCTAAAGTTTGTGCTGATGATGTCATTCAGAAGAACGATGAAAGCTCCACAACCAAACCATCCAGCTCAGAGAACAAAACTCCATCAAAAGGTTCGGTTAATACTTCATTCAACTCAAACATTAACATTAAGATGTACGAACATCTATCAACTGACTAGTCACACTTATGACAAAAGGAAAGATGCTGGATCACATTTTTTTAAAACCACAATCTAAATATAATAAATTTTGCCAAATTATAAAACGTGAACAATAGATATAATTAAAAAAAGAATCCTCACTTCTGATTCAGTATTATTTGCAATGCTTATATCTTCAGTTGTGTTTTCGTTAGAATCTTCAATAAAATAATCGTTTGTTATTTGTTTGTTAGATTCTAAATTCTTCCCTTCTTGATGAGATGAGATTTCGTCGTCAGATATCCGGAAATTTTCTTCGATTTTATTATTATTTAATGATTCTTCGCCAGTAACCTTCTCTTCAATATCTATTTCTTTTGATTCTATTGGAGATTGTACAGAATCTGAATGACGATGATGATGTGATGGATTGGAAGTTTGATTAATAACTACGTCGTGTTCAGTTACAATATCGTCGTTTGAATCATCATTATCAATGAATATTCGTTTTATTTTTGTAGTACTATGAAAACGTTCTCGTTGAAGATGACCTCGATATCTAGATTGAATTATGGTAGCTGCCTCGTCTTCACTATATTTTTGTGATTGTGATAATTTATTAAAATCTCTGTTTTCTTCAAACAATTGACTATTTGGTGAAATTGTGTGATTTGGTAAAACACTTGTTTGATCAATGTCTCTTACACTTTCAAGATGTGCCTAAAACGCATTTTGTAAAAGGAAACTTATAAACTATGCTTCTTCTAAACACTGAACAGTATCGAATAATTATATTTTGAAACAAAAGAGTTAGGGATTTAAACAAAATAATTCCTGTTTGTGAGTAAGGTTTTTCATTTAGATACCATGGAAAATTAAAGGATACTGGATACCTGTTTCCTCTCAATTTTACTGGTGATGAAATTCAAAACTTATAAGCTTAACAGTTATCACATCACCATTAAACAATTTAAGTTGATATTCAATGACTCACATTCTTGATTTCGGTTGAATGATGATACATTAAACATTTCCCATCATTTAAAAGTACTTGATAAATCATTCTGAATGGTTTTATTCTATCTAATTATATAATAAATATCGATCCAATGTGATAGAATGAAGCTATGCACTGAGTTTGTTTGACTCTTTCCAAACCGCGAAGAGAAATTCTTGCTAACTCGTTGGGTAATTTGTCTGATAGTATGCTCAATATAAATTTCTCCGCAAAAGCAGATGAATTGAAGCAAATACACACTGATGTGGCTAAGCTAAGTAATGTATAAACATGTGCTCACTAGTGACTAGCTTCGTGAGGGAATTATCGGAGTTCTAGTGAGAAGCCGTGACCAGTGGAGCTAATCCTTGTCGAGTAGAGACAGGTATCTACCTCAGTACAACAGAAGTTAGTCGCGCAATTGGTTGATGTTAGAAACTATCACCGTTCGAAGCCGGCTCAGTGGTTCAGTTGGTTAGGCGTTCGCACGCGAGACCGAAGGCCCTGGGTTCGAATCCCGCTGGCGGGATCGTGGATGCGCACTGCCGAGGAGTCCCGCAATAGGACGAAACGGCCGTCCAGTGCTTCCAGGTTTTCAATTGTGATGGTCTAACATCAATCGGTTCATGATCTCAATCAAAAACTTAATAATCTCCACAACCCCTATACTAATGTATCATTTAGTTGGAAAACCATTATTAGTCAACTAGAAAATGCCAAGTAGAAATTAGGTCAATGACGATATCTTTTTGCTTCTCTAATCAGTCTATAGTGTGATGAGATATAGTGCAACCATCATTGTAATGGTAACAGTGGTAAATGTCTCACTTTCGACATTTCTGGAATCTACCAGTTACAATTTCTCAGCACAACTAGAGAGCACACATTTCTATTGATTAACTTAATAATAAAGTAAACCTGTCCGGCTCTTGTATAAATAAATTTTAGGAGAAAATAGTTCACATAAAGTCTTCTTAATTCAGTTATAACAAATCCTGCTGATTAAGGAGATACAAAAGGATGAAAATAACAAATGACAAGTCAAAATTATGAAAGATAATGGTCCACTTGACAGATATGAAGAAAAATGAAAACACATAAAGGTCATAATAATAACCGAATAACAATTATCTTACATAATTCTAACCCATAAATTATTTTCATCCTCATATTCTTTTCTTGGCCCTTGATTATTACGCAACCCCATTTGATAATAAGAGTCTAAAATCAATTTATGATGCAACCTTTTCTACCTTGACGTAGTGGTTGGGCTTGCCTATCGTGATGAAGCAACCGAGCTATACTGGCTGGAACTGTTCCTCAAGGTCCTACCATGTCAGACAGGTCGGTTGAAGAGCTGTAAAACTGAAGGCAGCAAACCGAAGGTCTGAGGCCGAAATTGTACTGCTGACTGTGCAGAGGTGTGATGGCAGTAAGGTGTTTCCCTCAGACAACCAGCACAACAAGGACGCTGCCTTCCAACAAGGAGGGGTGGGGTTAGATAAGATCGACTTTAGAAATGTACACCTCGCCCTATCCCGTGGATATCCGTCTCTGGCAGTAAGGTCTCAATAAGTACGGAGCTAACACGAAAATTACAAAACGTCGTGTGTGACCAACCTCAAGCAGTTATCCCTTGGGTACTGCGGTCACACTCTCGGATCTCTAAGACCACCTCTAACCCAATTTCCTTTTTCAGGTACCCTCGGAACGACCCCTCTACGGTATAGGCAGCCGAAAAGTGATGGCTACCCATTATACCTCTAATAGCACTCAAGATCCTTCTATAGACATATATTTACCACACGGATATAAATACAAACGTACAGCTTATGTAAATAATTGCGTTGAAAAGAATACTTTCTTCATTAAATAACTCCTTGATTTCCTCTAATGGCATAGTGGGTTATTTTAATGATCATATAAATGAAATTGTAAATTTTAAAGAAAAAAAACTATCTTTAAAAAATCTAATTGTTATTTATTGTCTCATTTTTGTTTCTAAGTATTAGTTTTATTACTAGTAAAATGAATTAAGATAGAGTAATATAGTAATTTAATAGTTGAATTCATGAGTCAATTGAAGCTAGACAACCATGAAAAACCTGAAAGCACTGGACGGCGGTTTTGTCCTACTGTGGGACTCCTTAGGAGTGCACATCCACTATCCCACCTCGCGAGATTCGAACCTAGGACCTATCGGTCTCGTGCGTGACCGCTTAACCCCTAGACCACTGAGTCGGCATCGATCGATGTTAATGTCTAACTTGAATCAATCCATAAAATTGTGCTTCCGTACATCATTGTAGAACATAAGTTATGTTCGCTGGTAATGAGTATCTGCAATCTTTTGTAAAATGATCCTTTCTCTGTGGAATTTAAACCCACCGATTTACAATAGGTCGACTAAATGAATATTCTAGAAAATAAATCAGTAGTGTATTGAAAAAGAATTCTAGAAACGAAAGACTAAAGGTTAAATTGAAAAAGAACATATCCAAATTCCAAGCTACTCATACAATAAGAAAAGTTGACACTTTGGGTAAGTCAACTGTTCCCGCTTTTTACCGCTTCCAATTGTATCTACTAGGTTACATGTACATTCCAAAGCCTAGATATCGGAAAAACATTTAGGAAGGTTATTGTATACATCTTTGAGCAGTTTCCAAGACAGATGATAATAAAAAGACAGCACACTTCCATCAGCTCACTAATTTACCCACTTGCTTGATAATTAATATAACATCGAGTTTTCAAACTTATTATTAAAAGAATGAATTCTAGTCTATTACGCCTTCCCGAAGCCATTACTCAAAAAATATCTTAAACAAATTTGTAAATCAGATAAAACGTTGTAGTTTTGTTTTCCCACGATGACAGTTTAAGTCATTGGTTGCCTAGCTTATTTTTCCATGCTTTTAGTTATGAATTCGTGTTACTTCATCTTTACTTCTTACCTGAGCGTTACTCAGGTAATCAATAGTTTTGTAGTTAAGCTAACTCAAGTCCTAACTTGGGATCAGTCAGTCAGCTACAACGTAGGACCAGGCACATATATACATCGGCTCAAGTTGCCGTACCGCATTAGCACAGCAAAATGAACACAGGATAAATAGGAGTTAAGTCAATAGTGGTAATACATAAAAGAAGGATTGCATATAAGGATATAGTACAAGAAGAAAGATCTAGTATGTAGAAAGAAAGATATGAAGCGATTTTAATCTCTTAGTTTCAGAATAGACAAAGAGTGTATACACCTACACCATTATGGTCGATTTTGAGCCATGTCACCTACAGTCTCCAACTATTGGTTACGACAGTCACGCGGAACCCAACCTAGTAGTCTTTATCTACCGACATGGCTAAGACTAGAGGTTAGTGACTTCAAACACTATTTTGTTTGGCCGCCCCTAACTTTCTTCCAACCATCCCCAACACCGGTTAGCATTGCACGTCGTGGATTCTCGTAAACTCATCCCATCAGGCTCTGAACACGATGAAGAGCGTAAACAACTCGGATCTAGGTTAAGCAAAAGTTAAAGGAACGACCATTAGCAGTGGTGTGCAACGAAAACAAAGTAGATGGAAAAGGCGGCGGCTATATGGAACACAAGACAACTCTACAGACTAATAAAAGAAACTGGAACTAATAAGTCAAGTGTAAGTCAGACTATTTCGGAAAAAGACGATACTCTCATCTGCTCCCAGTCCAGACGTTTAGAACGATGGGCGGAACATTTTAGAGAACAGTTGAGCTGGTCTTCAGCTACTCTACAACTACCCTTCATTCCCGGACAGTGTGAATGGTACACTGAAGTAGGTCCCCCAACTCTATCTGAAGTTCAAAAGGCTATAGTTAATTTGAAACGAGGAAGGGCAGCTGGTCCAGATAGATTTGCTCCAGAGGTCTTTAAGGAAGGTGGTTCAATTTTAGCGATTAGGTTGACTGATATTTTAGCTAAAATCTGGAAGATAGACAACAGAACGCATTACACCAGAATTGAAGGTAAACATCACAAGAATGAATAGCATTTAGGAACGACTGGAAAGGAAAGTCTAAGATGGTGTTTCTCAGAGACTATTGGTCGGTAATCTATGCTCCACAAGGAAAAAAAAGGCAAAGTAATTAAGTAAGTAATTATATAACTCACAACATCAGTTTTCCATTTGTTTTAATTATGTTTCTATGCTTTTCCCAGTTTTTTCTATCACAATATTTGTACAAATAGGTTATGAAAAGACAAGTATATGAACGAATTTGTGATTCTACCATAATTGTGTCTCTTTTTTCTAATTTACATCAATATGTCTAACCAAATTTTAATCAAGAATTTTCTGATGTAAAACAGTAGCATCATATTTATGACTTAAAGTCAAATAAATTAATTTGTACATTTATTAACCAACAATAAGAAAACATTGTAGAATGAACCAAAATTTATTTAATTTAGTATTCCCTAAAGCTTTCACAAATGCATCATTAGTTATTATCACCATAGAGTCTGATATAAACGTGGATTAGTTCATGTTCCTATACCACACATTAGTACGACGAGATCAAATCAACAAGATGGAATGGTAAAACAGTTCGAAATAATGTAGTAACAATGATAATAGGAAAGATTAAGAGTTAAGACAATAGTTCAAAAGAAGTGAGTGGAGAGATATGTATAAAGGAATACTAGAATTCAAAACCGCAAAAAAGATAAGTAGTGAACGCATC